GCTTCTTCAGTCCGAACCGGCCACGGAGTCTTCTCTGCTTGTCGTTCATTTTCTCTTTGTTGTTAGCTCGTAAGCATGTTAATTCATATCGATTCCTTTAATTTCCAAAGGAAATTGCTACAAGGTTAAGATAGTACCGACACAGGCTGTTTCCTACATGCTTTTAATCTGCGTTTAACCATTCTGAAAAATAGCGTTGTGGTGAACTGGACCGTGCGTGTAAAACAACCAAACAAAAAAGGAACCAGTTAGCATTTTAATTAAGCATGTTATGATTTTGCATACTCAAATTCAGCTTTAACTTCTTCAAATCCATAATGCAAGATTTTTATGCCTTGATAGCCAAACCCCCTGTCTTCTAGCTCTCCTCCAGAAGCTTGCTGTTGGCCACTGGTCTTGGGGGGTGGGTGGCAGATCACTCCTGGGGTTCTTCAAGCTGGGACGATGCACAGAGCGCCTGGAAGAAGCCCCATGGCTGTCTCATGCCTCCATAAAGCCATTTAAAAGCAAGTCCTAACAGCAAGGACTTACCAGATAGGAAAAGATGTGGAGGCGGGTTGTGAAGCTAGACAGGCTTTTAGTCTACGCTGCAGTGGCTCTCCTTGCAGTCTAAGCAAAAATTTGGACTCGGACTTAAAATTTCATTAAAACAGTTGTTTGACAGAAACTTGGCATAGCTGCGTCCACAGAGCTGCCTGTGGAAAGCAGATTGTTTTTTGCTGGAAAAACCTCTGACAAATTCCAGAAGCTACAAATTTGGGTTTTGGAAATGGTGTTCCTGGATGACATTCATTTCTTTTGTCTTTGTTGGACTTTGATGGTGGCTCACAAAGATGCAATTAGAGGGTGGTAGTAGATGGTGTTTGATGTTTTTTGGGCTGCTTTCACCTCTGGCTGGGGCTTCTTGTCTGTTCTATGTCTCCAAAAAGCCATAGCAGTCACGCAGCGTCTGTGGTACATGCACCATAGTGCGTCCTAGGAAAGCCAGCCCAGCTGAGGATCTTGGGTAACAATAAATAGGAGACTATAAATTTGGCTGGCCAGCACCTCCGTAGAATGCAATGGAGCCACACAGCCACAATTTGATATTAAACTTCTTGAACAGCTTTTCCTGTGGTGTTTCTTTGCTGTGAACGAAAGGCTTTGAGTATGTGGGACCAAGATAAAACTGCTCCACTGGCTGCTTCTGAACCTTCCTTGCTGGCCCTTTGACAGAGAGCACTTGTTTTCAGGTGGGTGGCCAGGCAAGCGAACAACTACCTAAAATGAGATTTTGAGCTCTTGGCGTTGGCGGTGCTTTGTTGGCGTCTGGACCTGCTGCCTCCCCAGTGCAGCCCAGTTCTGTTCCATTTTGGGGATGAATTTTCCCTTATTCTGTTGGAAATGTGGTTTTTCCTTAGGGTTTTTTATTTTTTGGTGGTGTGGGGTTTTTTTATTTGCTCCCAGGTTTTTATCTTGATAATTACAAAGACCTTTCTGTTCTAATTGCAAAAAAAAAAATGACACATTCCCTGTAACCAGCAGCCTGCCAGACTTTAGGTGGGCTGTTAAAGCTTTTGGAGTTCATCCCAAAAGCTTGTGCATCTCTGCAGTTTAGGAATGATGCATTTATATTTTTCTAACAAACACAAATGGCACATTTGCTACGTTATCCCAGCACCAGAAATGCAGTAAAATACCATGAGTCTGTTGCTACAGTCCTTTCTGTTCACAGAACTCCTGTCAAAATCAAAGGCGGGGTTTGGATGGAGAGTCCAGTATTCGGCATGTGATGTCCGCCCACGGTTATTTACATACATATTCACCTCAGGAAAAATACATTTCAACTAAAACACAGCAACAGATGTTTAAAAGGCCCCTGAAGGCATACTTAAAATGAAGTGGAGATCAGGTCTGAAGTCCACTGAAAATGGTGGAGAAGACTGCGTGGCTTGAGGGACCTCAGGATGGTCCCTGCCCTCCAGTTGCTCTCAGATCCCATAGATATTGGGACAAATTCCTGCTCCTGTTTAAATTCATCCAAGCTGTGCCAGTGAAACTAGGGTTTAACACCAGACCCAAAAGCAGCTTTTTATGGCAGGATTGCCTCCAGTCTAGAAGAGTGAGCATGGTCAAGTCCCGGCTCAAATTCTTAGTTGCGTTGAAGGGAGATGCCAGACTCCTCGCCATCCTTGTTGGGTTTTTGTTTCAGTCTCTTTTGCTGGAGTTTTTCTGCTTTCTATAAATAACCACTGGAGCAGAAGCTGCAGCTACTGGCCTTGCGCTGAGTGGTCCTAGTGGTGGGCTGCTCTTGGTGTGTCTTGGTTTTTGGGAAATTATTTCTGAAAGAGGCTGGGTTTGTGATGATAAGGAAAAGGGAAGAGCATGTGAGCTGTCAGAAAGTGCTGCTGTGAACTAGGAAAACGGCACGGCTGGAGTCCTGTCTGCCGTGGGAATTGCCATCGGAGCCACTCGTGTTCTGGCCCAAATGCTGGGAGAGGTCATCAAGAGCATTTTGCAGCTTCTCAGGATAGCCCTTTGGGTGAGGTGCCTCCTAGCTGCCCAATTTGCGCTTTCTTGCACAAAAGCTGTGGTGATATTGAACCACCGCTGTTGACAGCGTCATGGGAAATAAGTCACTGCAGAGCGGTGTTCCCTAAGGCATGAGACCAGCAGAGTGTATCTGTTGTAGTATTTGCATTATACAGCAAGAGTGTTTTCCCACTGCTGCACATGAACCTTAATTTATACTGTATTTAAGCATTCGTACTGGAAGGCTGACTTTCAGAGACTCAGAACAGCTGCAGCTCCTGCTGAATCCACTGAAGTCAGCTGGAGCCGAGGGTGGTGTGAATTTGCTTCCTTCTAGTTAAATCCCTAATCATCTTGTTGAAATGGTCCAAGTTTGGCTACGGTGATAACAAGCTGTCTGCAGCAGCCGGGCTGGAAAAAATTGCAAGAAGGGTAACAAATTTAAGCATTTGTGTTGATTCTATGATTAAATTTTGGTAGCTTTGTTGATGAGTGGCAGAAGTATAGAAACAGACAATTAAGTATTACCTTTTGGGTCATCAGTCTCCTACGTCTGCAGGCTGCCATGTTGTGGATATTGGATCCAGAAAGAGCATCCTGCTCAGCCTAGACTTCTACAAAATGATCTGAACCTCCTGAGATGAACTGAAGAGGGGTTGTACCCAAACCAGAGCGTACCACAGGGTGACAGCAGAAGGGAGATGGGTGTTCATCTTCAGAGTTCACAGTCAAACTTGCAGATGTGTGTGTAACAACTAAAGATCAGTCATGAAAACAGGAACAGAAGGGGGAAAGGCAGAGTTGGTGCATTATTTCTGTTACAGCAGAAGCTCACAGTTGAGTTTTGGGTGCAAGGAAGCGATGGTGCTCCCTGAGCCATGTGGGAGAGGGCTGGCGCCCCAACCAAGGAGACAAAACAATGGGTGGGACAAAATATACGTAATTATTTCCTCCTTTACTGCCAGGAAACCGATTATAGCCACAGTTGTCATTAGAATAGTGTCTTGCAGATTTGATGAATGTGTTTGCTGTACCTGCAGATGAATTTTCGTAAGCAATGTTATCTTCTTCGAGCATTTCTGGAATGTGTCTGCTGAAAAGATAGCATTAAATTTGTATTGTCAGCAAAAAAGAAAAGGTAATTAGGCATATCAGCAGTTTTCATTGGTGGAGAAGTTGATGTGTTGAAGTGTGATGGGTTTTACAGAGCATGCCCAATGCTGGGGGATCTTTTACTGTCATCAGTGTAGGCCACTTCAAAATGTCTGCTGTGAAGCTGGGGTGACACATGTCTTTATTTCTGCGTGTGATTTCTGCCTGCTTGGGCTATTTAAGGTTCTAGGGCAATTAAGAACTAAGTGCAGTTAAAAATGGTTTGAAGTAACTTCTAGCTTATTCTACATCTAAACTACTTCGTTAGTTCCAGAACTCATGCTAAAATAAAATAGCGAAAAAGTATTTATAATCTTTGGGGTATTTTTTCCTTTTTGGAAGTTAAGGTCTTGGTGTATAAATCATTGGTATCACTTTCAACATGAAAAGTAAAGGACTTTGTAATAGGCACGTTTTCTGCCATGCACCTTGGATTTCTTTCTTAGACTTAGCAGTACAGGCTATGAGTTTGGAAGAGCTCTGCCAGGTGGGTTCTCACCACCCTCCAGTGTTTAGGTCCTGTGTTCCACAGGGCTCAGCCCTCGCATCCTTACCATGTTCTCCTGGTCTTTTTGAGGCTTTTTCACTTTTCACACCCCAGTTCCTTCCAAGAGGTTGGCTAGGGCCTGGGTTACGACTGTCCAATGTCCCTTTCATTTTGAAGAGGTCACCTCTCACTTGAATTCCTGTTGTTCCCTGTCTGGGAGGTGTGTGACACCCTGCAGCAAGCTTTGTGTTCTCCGAGTCACAAGTTTCACCTATCCTTGGGTTGGGCTTCCCCTTGTTGTTACAAGTATAATTTTAACCTGACACATCACAATTTTTTTGAATAGCTGTCCATGTGTGACAAGGAGACAATATCTCTGCAGCTTCGACTGCTGAAAGGCCATCCTGTACATGCATTGCACAAGGCATACCTAATTTCTGCTTTATATTGATAGCTTCAGGGCAAAGATTTTTCTTTTGCATGCAGTTTGTTGGCTTTTTCATTTACTGATCCCATTTACTGAAGAATATAGTCTGAGGAAATTAGGTTTAAAATCATTCATATACTGAGGGAATTTTGTACAGATGCTGATTGGGTGGGTGGGAACAGGCTATTCTGCTAAATCTGTAAATTTTATTAAATAAGTTTCCAATAAAATTGGATGTACAAGGAAATGATTTATTGTTGTCCAACAGTAAACAGAAGAAGCCCTTGACTCCAGACTGTACAATGCAATTTTTGGAGGACTTTTAAATCACGCTCGTATTTTGATTGAAGAATTAATGATTCTGGATTCTTCCTTAGTGTATCTTGGATCATGTTTTCTTTTCTCTGTAATTTTTTTTCCCAGACTGCTGCGGGAACAGTGGATCAGAGCCAAATACGAACGAAAAGAGTTCATTCACAGCGAGAAGCAGGAACCTTATTCTGCAGGTAGCGAAAGACACTTTTGGCAGATAAGTTTTTTGATGTCCAACACCTTCCATTTTTTTTCATCTCTCTCTGTTTGTATGTTCTTTATATTGATTATTGCTCATATGTCACTAAGTAGGAGGAGAAAGTGTGGCCTTTTGGGAAAGGCCCCTCCTGGCATTCCCTGTATTTGACTGGGAACACTGGGAATTTTAATAACTGATGGAAATAAATCAGTTATCAAGAGTCTTTCTGTTGACTTGCATGGGCTGTTCACCAACAGCAAGTCAGATAAAGTACCAGTGAGTTCGTTTCTGGTGGCAGGAGGCACGAAGCTGCATTGAAATGGAGATAAGGGTGTTTGTCTCATCAAGGTGACTTTTGCTGTGGAAAGATTATTAGCGTGGTTTGGTTAACGGTAGATAAGTGTGCCAGGTCCCGCACTCTTCCCAAATCTCTGTTAACTGTCTTTCCACAACCCTTCAAGCGTTGTCAGTGGGACCTGGTCTCCCTGTGGTATAATAAATGCCCGGTGTTTTGCAATTGCAAAGACCCAGTACGTGTGACAGAGCTCGTTTCAGCACTCCTGACGCGATGGGCAGAGTGACGGTGGCCTTGCAAACGGGTGGTTTAGTGGAGCAGTGGATGGGATGATTTTCTTGCAGAAGGGCAGGATCTGAAGAGGAGACACAGGGCTCAACCGTGTTTGTTGTGTTGCTGTGCCAGCACGAGGACTGGCATGAAAGTGCATGAAATTAGCTGGGTATTTCTTTGCTATAAGTAAGTGGCATTTAATTTATTCAGCATATTAAGTAGTTGACACCAGCTATGTGCTTGGATGACTCTGGGATAATTTTATTAGCAAAGACCATGTTACAGATGAAAGGTTAAAATATTATTTTCATGCTGCTTTTCAAGACTAATAATAAGCAGGTAGCTCCAGCAGTTTGCTGTTACTAAAACCACAATTAAAATCTTATCTCATGTATTCTCAATTTATGTTTAGAGCATTTCTGCTCTGCTGTTTTGTATATATGAAGCATGCATGTAGGGTGTGTGTGGTATCCATATTCATATATAGTACATTATGCACATTTTTATTGCAGATTTTCAAAGCGGTTTGCTGGAGTTGGACATGTTCTATTAACAGTAAATAGTTTGATTTCTTAGATAACTTTGGAATATATCTGCCAGCCTGTGTATAACGTTCACCCAGGAATAATGTTTCCAGTTTATACCGTGCGACTTCTAGATATAAAAGCTCGGATTCAACTCGGTACTTCAGGCAAATGCATAATTTTAAGCACATGATTAGTCCTTTCGACTCCAAGAAGAGTGTGTACCTGGTTAAAGTGAAGTAGGTGCTTCAGTGCTGTGTGGGAAGAAGGGCAGCATGTTCTGAGCTCTCTGAAAAATATTATAAGAACAGTTCAAACGGGAGTTTATTTTAGCAACGTATTTTGTAGGTGTTCTTCAGTACTGTGGCTGTATAATATTTAGCTGCATGGTGAAGCGATAGGGTTTTCTCCCCTCTCTTTGAAGTTCAAAAGCCATTAAAAGCAGAATAGAAGAGAACGGGGTAAGCCATTTTAAATGAACAGTGCTCTTGGGAGGAGGAGGGGAAGGGAAGGCAGGCTGGTGGGCATCTTGTAGGCTGTATATGAGTGCTTTTAGGTTGTATATTGTCTTCGAGAATTGTACCATTTGAGCCGTGCAAATGGCCTGTGCAACTGGGACACCATTTGTTGATTCTTCTCAACAGTAAATTCAAAGGGGAGCTTTGGCCAGGTGGTTCCTCCTTAGGATGGTGTTACAGAAAAACAAAGCCGGGAACACACACCAGATTTGCAGTGCCAACTTTTCGCTTCTGCTGAACCATAACAGCCCCTAGGTGTGGTTGCACGCCCGTACTTCACCCTGTGCCAAACGGTGCTCCTTCTTCTGGACTGCAGGATGTAACTTGGTTGATGACGCTGTTTTCAGGTCTTGGGCTGTTACACCTGGAGCTGGTTGTTTCCCAGCTTGTGGCTTGAGAAGGGAGCCCAGGGAAAATCCCGTGTCCTGTAGGAAAGCAGCATGCTGGAGATCATAGAATCATTTAGGTTGGAAAAGACCTTTAAGATCATCGAGTCCAACTGTTAACATTACCAAGTCCACCACTAAGCCATGTCCCTAACAGAGATGTTCCTCTGTGTGTTGGGACAGTTCTTGTATCGCTTGGGTGAAATGGGGTGTTTCACCATTGTGTCATATGCGGTGCTGGACCACCAGTTTGCCCAGCTGGTGTAAACCAGTGCCGTCAAAACTGGTCTGGACTGCTCTGTCCGTGAGCCCTGCAGGACAGGCTGGAGCTCGGTGCTTGCAGAAGAAGCTCAGCCACACCATGCGTCCTGGCTCTGCCCTTCTTGCCGCTTGCAGGGGTCGATACAGCTTCGTGGCCACACCAGCGGCTTGGAGGATGCACCCCGCATGGGGTGGACCTCCCGTGCCCGATTATGCTGGACTCAGCGCGGCTGGGAACCGCAGAGGATCTGGGCCGTTGCTTTCCACTAACAACCTCCTGAACTGCCTGCGAATGCACCGAGGTGGGACCCACACAAGGACGCCTTCCTGCCCACCCCGCATCCAGTTTGTGTCTCACTTGAATGTATGCATATCGCTTTTTCTTTCTAATGCTGGCTTAGACCATTTTTTCTCACCATTCTGAATTCCCTGGAGGGGTGTTAGATTACCAGTTTCTAAGCATGAAACATTTAGTTGCTAATAGAGACATAGGTATCCATTTTCTCATGTTTGTTGGAAGATTTAATTCCATTTTCCAATTCCAGGGGCAATTTTGCATTCTGATATTTATTCAATAATTGCATAAAAAATGAGAAAATGCTATCTTTGAATAGTTTTGAGCAACATCTTTTTCCAGGCAGCCTGACGAAACCCTGGTCAGAAATTCAATGTCTTTCAGAATATCCTTTGGGGAGAGACTGTCTGGAGCCTGTAGATGCTGAGCAGAAGCTATCACGGCCAAACTGACAGACTTAGGAGAAATGAATCTCAGGACAGGAGTGTCAGATGTGCAGGTCAGAGCTGAGAGAGTCACGCAGGGAAGCCTGGCTGGAGGATGTGGCGAACTCTTCAGCTGCTGGTGAAGAGTATAAAGAAGAGGTGGTGTGGGATGCGAAGGCAACAGCTGCCCCAAAAGGGCTTGCATAGCCCCCAAACTGATGGGAAACGTCTGCCTCGTGAGATACAGAGCGATGTGAGGTAGCAGAACCAGAATTGGGAAACAAAGACACTTGGCGCATGCAGAAATCCCCAGCGTGGGCAACGCTGAGCGTTGAAACCAGCTCTTGAGTCTCACCCTGGAGAGGAGCCGTGGCTGTAGATCCATGGGTCTTGGCTCAGTGCCCCCATCAGATGTCCCCTCTCAGGGATGTGCTGTTATACATGTAGTCACAGCCTCTTACCCTCGGTAGAAGATTGCAGTGGAAATTCCTCTAAGGGAATTTTTAGAGGGTTTTTTGCTCCCCCCAGGAAACCTTGGAGCACAAGCCCATGCGCTATTCAGAGCTTTCAGCTTCTCTGCCCCCAGTTAGTTTTTCAAACTCTGATGGCTTCACTCCTCTGAAAGAGCCTTCGTTAATGAGTATATTAGTGCCATTGATTTTAGTGTGAGGAGTTGGTTTGAGTTCAGGTAGTGCAGGGAGATTAGTAAAGCAGTGATTAAATGTTTTGGTGATCCACTATTGATTCTTAGATACACCCTTTTATACATTTGAGCTCTTAATTCAGCTGCAGTATGAGAGCTAAATAATTTGTTCGCCCTAGCCAGACTTTATGAAGCAAAACATTATTTACACCCCAGCAATCCCAATTAACGCCGTGGTCCTCATCCCTTCCGCTAGCGATACGTTTGTTGCACAACAGCACAGAATAATACCGGTTTTAAGACCCTCACATTAACATGTTTCAGGTTGGCTTTATCCCTTCTGATAAATGAACTGGCTAAGTTACTGTCAGTCTCCAGCTAATTATCCCTTTTAACAGAGTTTAATGGGGCATGGGTGCTGAATTCTCCTAGAAATGGAGGATGGTGGTAATTGCCATCGAAGTCCGGATCTGGATCTCAAGGTAATTGAAAGGTTTGATAATTTTTAAAAATATGTTGATCAATTTTAAAAAGCTTGGACATTTTGCCCCGCTGCTGATAGGCAGCAGTAACAGCAGTGCTTCCTAAAAGTCCTGCTGAAGATTAATTCATTCGGGTGCTTTTGATTCCTCTTAATCAAATGGATATATGTTAACCAAGGCAGACGTGAAGGAAGCAAAGGGGAACAGTGTTTGCAGGGCTGGAGCACTGTAATACTATGAACTGGTCAAGGTCCAGCTGCTCTAATGCATCTCAGGCCACAGACGAGAACGGGACGTGCACGTGGCCAAGAGAGAGCAAAAGGGAGTTGTTTGCTCCCGTGAACTTGGCTTTGGCTCCTGATGGACCCATCTCGTTACTGCCAGGACGCCAGGAGGAATCGGTGCCCTGTGACAAGCTGAAGCCCAGTCTGGGAGGAGTTGTGGGCAGGGATAAAACATCTTCAGGTCTTTGCTTTAACATTAGCAAATGAAGTGGGAGAGCTCTTAACACCAGCGTTTAATCTCTTAATGCTTGTCAGGAAAAATGGCTTAACTTCACTGTTGGGACCGTGAAAGCATCTGTCCATGGGATGGACGTGGCTGGTGCAGTTGGAGAGGGCTGATGGGTATCTCCAGCGACAGACAGAGATTCTGGGCTGTGCAAAAGCAGTTGCCACCCTTTCCTTGAAGGTGTTGCCTGAGATAGTTCAGCAATGATTTATATGCTCTTAAACCAGGTGTAGGCGCTTTGCAGCGCAATATGCTTTCCAGCGAGGCACGGGGTAAACTGGGCACAAACAGCAGCATCACCAAGTGCAGCTTTCTGCCACTTTGCTGCGAATGCTGCCTTCTTGTGTTTCCCATAAATAGGCCAGTAAATCCTATTGCTGTTA